CGAACAGGGTGGATCTGATGCAGATGTGAAAGCGCGAATTAGAAAAGTAAGAGCAGTGTATTTACAAATGAAGAACATCTGGAACTCAAAACAACATTCTGTCAACTAACACCAAGGTCAGAATTTTCAATACAGATGTCAACACACTAGAAAACGACGAAAGCTATCATCCAGAAGATACAGGTGTTTATTAACAGTTGTCTACACAAAATGAAATGTGTTGTGTTTTTTTCTATATGACGTTGTGATGTAAGGTCAGAATTTTCAATACAAATGTTCAGACAGTTCTACTGTATGGGTTGGAAAAATTGAAGAACCACCAGTGCCATCATCCAAAAGATACAAGTGTTTATTAACAGTTGTCTATGCAAGACACTATCAATAACAATGTATTGTAGAAGAGAACAAACCAGATTCCAGTAAAGGAAAAAATCAGCAAGAAGCGCTCAAAGTGGATAGGTCATACATTGAGGAAGGCACCTAACTGCGTCACGAGGCAAGTCCTAACTTGTAATCCTCAAGGTTAATGGAGGAGAGTAAAAACAAAGAACATATTACACCGAGAAATGTTGATATACATGAGAAGAATGAACAAGAATTGGATGGAAGTAGAAAGGAGGGTCTAGGACAGATTGGGTTTGAGAATGGTGGTCGGCAACCTATGCTCCATTAGAAGTAAGTAGGTAATTTGAGTATTAAATAAGAAAGATTAGTTGAAAAAATATTTCTCTTTTCAGCAAATTCATTTTCAAAGCTGTACAATAGCAAATATATATATATATACTTATTTTGCAGGATGACATTAATTATAATAATACTGATAATAAACTCCTGTTAGACATGGTGATACCGAGGTAAAATAAACTAAATTATTTTTAAAAAAATTTTAAACAAGAAAAACTTAATAATCATTTGATTGTTAATGGCTTAAGTATTCATCAAAAAATAAGGAAATTATCCTTGGGAAGAATGGCTCAGCTTCATAAGTTAAAATGTTGAAATTAAGATTAAATGTAATCTGGAGGATCGTAGAAACAGAAATAAACCAGTTGGGAGTAGGAGATTTAAGGGGAAGATGGAAGGTGAAGCAGATGGCTATAAGGGAAGAAAAAGAAGAAAAAAATTACAAGACATCAAGACCATGGTAGAAGAAGAGGTTGTACCAATATCTTTTGCACACACAATTCTGGTTTTTTCCAGATGTATGGCTATTGCTTCAGCAATGCAAAGAAGATGCAATCTAATTCTCTTTGGAAAACTTCCACTTACCTTGTAGATGACTTTGAACGCGGAGTCTATTTTGATTAAGCCGTTTTATCCTCTTTTTAGCCACGCCGGATAATGTTCTTGAATTCTTTTGGATAAAGTACGCATCGAATGACCTATATATCTAGCTCCACATGAGCAGGTAAATTGGTAAATGCACATTGAATTGGTAAGATGAGATAATTTATCCTTATTATTATTGATGAACAATGATCGACTGGAAAATACTATTAGCAACGTTGCTGCGAAGAGCGCTCTTTTTAAAGAACCAGAAATTCTCCTCTTTAAAAAGTATGTGGCTGTCACCCTTAAAGTCAATGTTCATGTACATTTTTTTCTTTTCTGCTGAAATTATTTATGTTTTCGGTAGCTTCGGTTTTGTTCTTATCAATGAATACCGAATGATACCCGTTTTTTAAAAGTATCTCCATCAAAAGGTCAAATTCTTCATCTATGACCCCGGGGCTACAAATTCTTCCTATCATGAACAGATTCTGGCCAATAACCACAAAGCATAGAACAGCTGCTTCGTCTCTGTATGGAACTTCTGGCCGTAATTACTTGTTCTTGCTCTTTTCAAAATGATAAAGGAAACTATGTGTATGAAACTTGTGACCATGTTAGATATTGAGTAAATCAGCTATTTGAATCTTAGCAACACTTTTTTTCCTTCTGAATATTCATTTGCTATCCAATGAATCACATCTCAAATTTTAGTCAATTCATAGTTTTGCTTGGCCGTCATTCATTATGACAGTTATTACCTGTCCTATGCTTGGTATGTGAAAATTATAGTAATTTCTAACAAGCATGAATTTTCATGAATAACGCTGATATCAAGGAGTGTATGGAGGTCTGTCTTATTGATTCGTAATCCTTAAAATTACCTATTCTTGAAACTAAACGAACGTGAATAAAAAGCTATTTTAATTATCCTGATAGTATGGTATAGTTTATTTGATAAATTAGGACTAAATGAGTACAATGACTCATTTATAGTCAGTATTTCTGGAGTATTGGGCATACTGCTACTCATACGACAGAGGTTATAAGTGATGGGAAATGAGATAATTTATTGTCACTGATAGTATTTATCTGTTATCGTTTACGATCATCCCATATTATGCTGTAACGTCTGTATCCTGTTAGATAACTAACTGCACTTGTTCTATATTGAGTATTTTCGATAAAGGATTGATACAAATTTATGTTTTGAGCTCTGGTATTTTCGATTCAATCACAACTATCATGGGATCATAATGACAGAAAATATTTGTTGGCTAATTTATGTTAAAACATTCTGTTCAAGTCTATCGTATATTGTCTAAGTATAAATAAATATTGCCGACAATTCAGGATAAACTAGAATAAATGGATGCTTAGATAAAGATTCTGTCGCTTGCACCTAGGAGATAAGCGCCTTTAGCTCGTCTTTGTATCAAGACTAGGAATCCGCATCATTATGAAGTCCCTAGTTTGAGCGAAGAAAGTGATTTTTATGATACCAATCTGGAGTGAGGTATCTATTCATCAGCCAAATACAACGGCAGTCATATTATGCTGGTAGTCGATTAAAATTACAAAACATGAATCAGTTGATTTACAGGTGCCATGACGTGTAATAAACTTTAAAGTCCTAGTTTCAGTCTCTTGAAAAATCATGAGTTCATACTACTAAGAATTCCTGAACGTGGACAAAGTATTATAAACAAAGATGGATAGTGGTTAGCATTGGAATCCATGGCTCACGTTTCACCCTATTTCGGACTCGTCAGCTGAACGTACCTGCATTTCAAAGTTGATGTTCACTTTTAGACACGAACCCAATAAGAGACTGATCAATTACAGTTCTAACCATCAACAGGAAGATCCAAGTAAACAATACCAAGTGGATGAAGTAATTTTCCAAGACTTTCTTATTCTATATAATTCACCAATATACGACAAAAATCATTTTATGGATGTAATAATATTTGAAAACCATTCAGTTAGTCAATGAACACCAGCTTATTTTAATTTTTGCCCCCAAATACCCTGGTACGGCCGAGAGTGGGGAGAGTCCTGCTCTCCCTCTCGAAATGCTCTCACATGCCCACGCGTATATACTTTTTGTCAGGGAAGACCTACTCACTGTCTCCTTGTGGCGGGGGTGTTGTTTACGAAATTGAGATGAAGTAAAGCGAACCTCCGTTGCTTTAACTAGGTCAATAGGCACGAAGAATCCACCTAGGGGAGTTGGGAAACCCTGATTTCAAACCAATGATGCATATGGGCTCCAGTATCCTGAAAGAACAAATGGCGTATAAACTAATCGTTGATCACCGGCCACCATGGGACTACATCTCCTTACGATGCTCCATTGTCTTGTGGTTCAGACCTTTAGGCCGAAGGCTCCGGATGTGGTCCCCTAAAAAAACCAACCGCACAATATCACAGCTCTCACACAAATCAAATGCGATTTATGTAGTGCCCACTCGTACCAATTTGTATATGCTGAAATAAATAAATGTTAGACGCTATCACCACTGGATGCCGGCTCAGTGGTCCAATAGGTTAAGCGTTCGCGCGCGAGACCGGAAGCCCTGAGTTCGAATCCCGCTAGCGGGGTCGTGGATCCGCGCTGTTTAGGAGTCCCACAATAGGACGAAACGGCCGTCTAGTGCTTTCAGTTTTCGAAAGGTGGTCTAACATCAATCGGTCCATGATCTCAATCAAAATAGTAAAATATTTTAATTTACATTGCATTTTCAATATAGAAAAACTAGAGTTAGGGATATATGTATATTTATATATTTATATATGTATTATTATACTTTGAGTGAATTTCCTCTCTTTCTCTCTAAAAATAATAATACTAAATAAAATTTTTATTTTATTATTTTAGTTTCATATTAAAAACTAAAGGAAACATAAAATCAAATACTATTTATGATCAATTATAGGAACATAATTTTTTTTAAAAAAAGGAACAAAGTGAATTACAAAGGTAAAATAATAAATGAGAAGAATAAATGTAAAGTAATAACAATAACACATATGCATAGTATGAATCGAATATGATAAGTTATGATAAAGATATACTACTATTACTACTACTACTACTAATTGAAATGATAGTTGAACTGGTTTAGAAGAATAAGTGATCAGTTTTATAACAATCTTATATGATGGTTATTTTCCAGTTTACATTATATATATATATATATATATATATATATATATATATATATATATATATATATATATATATATATATATATATATTATATATCCCTTACTGTAACGAGTATTTAACTAAAGCATAACTTTTAAAAAAGGTTATTTTCTTTTTAATATTTTGTCATGGTGTTATGTCCTGTTGTGTGCGCCAAATACAAGTTGAACGGTACTTAAAATAGTAATGATAGTAATATATATAAGTAGTACAATTACTAGTCTTAAAAATACAGTATACAATGTTACAGTAGATCTTCTTTTTTTTTATCCCGTAATGGTTATAAACAAACATGTATATGTATTTATAAATGCGCACAAGTAAACTATAAAGAAACAAATATATACCATTTAAATAATTTAGCGTGCAAAGCCAAGAAAAATCAATCATCAGGTCACTATTTTACCCGAGAAAAAGAAAATCATACACTTGAACACATTAAAATGAAAAAAATTAATATAACAAACTGATCATTATTATTAATATTAATATTATTATTATTAGGATTGATTGTTTCTCTTTATGTTGTATTCTCTTCAGGGACTTGTTGTGAAAGTCGACTAATAAAATGTGTTTTACCCAATGGTCGATCATAATCTTCCATTGACATTCGACGATTTAATTGCATTGGTGTTTTTTGTAATTTTAAATTGCTTACTAAATAAAACAAAATGAGAATGACATTAGTTGACTAGTTGAAAAATGATGATTATTTAACCATTAAGGTTATGTAAAGTGAGTAAATCTTATGAATAAACCACATGAACGAAAGTTCTCTAGTTATTGCTCCTTTTTAAACGATAAATATTTGTCAAAACAGTAGTGATACAATCTTGATAGGTAGATGACCCGATTTATGGTATATTTCTATGCCAATACAGAGGGTTTGTTGAAACCGTTGGGTAGTTCTAAACCTGAGGGTTTCGGGTTCGATTAGCAGCAAGGTCGTGAATGAGCCCTATTCTGGGGTTAGACGACCATCTAATAGTTGTCTAACTAAGGTCAGTTTATGATAAAAACTAGCTTATATTTATGCACACCATTCAAATCGTTTGATAAATAAATAAAATCATAATATCCAAACTGTAGAAGTTGCTTCACTTTTACAATAGTCATGGTAACTATTTGTTTCATTTTAGTGTTAAAGTCAGTAACGTTTATGCTAAATCATATCAGATAGATTATGTCACTTACAAATATTACAAACCACGAATTTGTTTTGAAAATAACCTCACTTTAGGTATGACATATAAATGAAACGACAATAAACTAACGACTAAATCATTGGTATGTTTCCAGATACTAGCCAAAAGTTTCGATTCGACAATTTGTGAAGACTGTTAAAGACTTAGCACTGAGATTTAATGACAACTCCTTTTATGACCCACGTTAAGTTCTTCTAGTCTCTTAATCTGCATACTACCTTTAGGTCACTTGGACAGGGTTCAAACAGAGTCTACTTTGCAATATTATGGAACAATTATTTAGCATAATTGTTGATATCTATCTCACCCGCTAATATGACTGCAGGAACAAAAATTTTCCGGATCTCTGTGATGTTAATTCACAGAGAAATTTGAATGACCAAAACGTATTTATTTCATCAGCAACAAGAAGGTCTATACTTCCCAATACGGTACAGATAAACAGTATTTTTGTCTGCTTTTCTTTAGCCTTTTTTCATCCTGCACGATTACTATACAATACGTCAAGCGTTATGAAGTTAATCACTAACAACTAACATGGATACCTATTACTAAATGGTTTGAATTATCTGACATCCAAACATAGTTCACATAATGTCGAGTCACTTATACAAACGTTTACATTACAGCTTGATAAAAAGAATTTGATAAGGATTACGAACTAAATAGTTATGAAGTTGGTTTCTACTCGGCAATTATTTAGCAAAATTATCTGGTTATGTTATAAGTGAATTTTCACTTCAGTCACTTCTGTTTATCTTTATTCGTAAATTTAGAATTCTAGGCGAAACTAAATTGTGATAAAATGGCTATGAAGAGAAAATCATTACAGTATTCACACATGGCAACAAAGGTTGATCATATTGAAACTTGTATGAGTGAGATATTTTAAACTCTTGTTAATAACGATAGGAAAATTATTAAAAATGAATGAACCATGAATGACTGTTTCGTTCTAATTTAAAACCCCTTAACGATTAGCATCTAGAGTCTTAAAAGATATTATGATTAGGATATTTAGCTCGTTAGTTGAGGACGATACTATTAAATCTGTGAGTTACGACAGAAAAGACAGATATATGTCAGTTCGATTTGTATAAAATTGTTCACGGCTTTCCAACATCCAATATTTACCACCGAAATTTCTAAGTTTAAATGAAAACATTTATGGACTTTCTACATTCCCGTATATACAAACTCTGCATTCATCTACCTTATCGAGACACATCTACATATTTATATATGTGACTTACATAATCCGATTCCTTGTAAAAAGTACTGCATACTGTCGACCACCTTATCCGGCTAAAGTTTTAAACGTAAACAGGAAGAAAAAGTCAGAAAAAATGACTGCATGGATGCATAGCTCTAAATACTTTATATATATATATATATCAAATGACTGGATGCATTTTGTCATTAGCTTTAAAGTATTTACGGTCACTTATATACACATGTAGTCTAAGAAGTTGAATTTGTCCGTTTCATCTAATTCATTTCTCTCAAACAATTTGAACAGGTGAAAAGACGATAATGTTTTCAGAATACTAGATATTTCATAGTTCTCTTCACCATTGAAAGCTTATAGTGTTTTTTTCTTTCTATTTACTAGTGATTTATCGTCGGTCGGATGTACCTGCACTGTAGTACTTTTGTTCGTACTGTAGCTTGAAACCAGTGCCTAACAAAATGGAATGTGCTTTCTCGATGACATAACAAGTCACACTCTAAAAGTACAAAAGCATTTTATTCATGTTCCGAATAAATATAGTGTATACTGATTTACAAGAACTACCTTTTATATCACGCGCATTCACCAATGTAAAACTTTATCACCTTCCAGTTGTTCAATAGTAAAACCACGTTAAAATATTTGATAAAGTCAGTTGATAATTACATTCAATAAGAAACAATAATGAATTATAAATTTAACAGTTCTATATTGTTTACTTGAATAATCAATAAATATTACTGAAACATATAGACTTACTCTTTCAGTCAGAACATTTGATACATCATCAATCATAACAAATTCACTTGAAGCTGATTGACCACCAGAATCACGACGTATTTTTTCAAGATCTTCAAATAATTGACGACATTTTTTATGATGTGAAGCTAAAGCTCCTGTGATCAATAATACAGGACATCTGAAATATGAAATATTAAAATGAACATTGAAACAATCTTATAGAAAAATGAGAATACACTTTTTTTTAAAAGTACAATCATGTGATGCTAATTTTATTAGTTCTAACAATAGAATGATAAATAGAGAGAAAACTTTTAAATGTAGATAACTATATGTCGTAATGAAGATAATATATATAAATGGTTACTTAAATCTTAGTTAAATGGAATGATTAAAAGTTGCTAATAAGACATCAACTGACCAGTTATAATTCAATCAAGATGAAAATAACAGCAAACCGTATTATACTTTTATTTCTTTCAGTGGTTTATTCTTATTACATTAACGTCAACAATGAGCACAAGAAAATGTCCCCAACGTTATTAAGTGATAGAAGCTGTATCAGTGGTGTAATAATTTGATATTCGTCACAATATCTAAAGGACCTGAATTTGACTGTGGGTGGGGTCAATGGTTCTCAGTCAATTCTAGACTAGGATAAGACAGCTACCCATTCAGTCAGTTAGCAATAATGTAGAACTTCGTATGTACGTATATCGGTTCATTTTGTCTTATAAGACAGCTATCCAATGGTCCCTGGTTTTTAGTAGGACCTTAACTGTTATAACTTATCAGTTGAATGCTACTTGTTATATCTGGTCGTCACTGATTGTTGTGTTGGAAACGCTTATCACTTATACTCGAAACCAGGGACCTCGGAAATTCTCATGACACGAAAGTAAGAACACAAAGATTGTTATAAGTGAAAAATTTATTGACCTCAAAATCACGACGACGACGACTCTAGTCGAAAATACATTCATTTATATAGTGATTGTACTCACACTTTGACTAATAATTAGGATGAAATCGACATATATAAAAAAATACTCAGTTATGACAAATCAAATGCTGAGCATAGTTCATGTCAATTGAATACAAGAACATCTGATGTTGTACAGAATATAATATCATACGGGAAAACAAAATAAATACTACACTGAATGATTATCACAATGAATCAGGACGGAAGTAATGTTGAACTAAACTCATAGTTAGTAAATCAATTGGATTTTGACTTTCTCGTCCCTGGGTTTTAGATGGACCGTAACATAACGTGTTTAATACATGTTCCATGATAATATCACGATATGTATTCATTTTAAGAATGTTGTAATTCACTTTTGCAACATTCTCATTGAAACTTACTTTCATCATATTATATTCTCAAGTAGTCAAACATGTATACTCAAGTGGATAATAAAGACTTTAAAATTATAACAAAGTTGGCGAGACTATAATTTATGGAAGAATCAGTCGGATCTAAAATAAAAGGTCTTGGATCTTGGAGCGAAATTCATTCGCTCATTCGTCTAAATAACGTCTTGGCATTTTAGCTGACGTTAGTTCGTAATGAAAACCATAAATCTAAATCCTAACCCGTACCTTACTTACTTACTTTCGCCTGTTACTCCCGATGGGGCATAGACCGCTGACCAGCATTCTCCATCCCATTCTGTCCTGAGCCTTCTTTTCTAGTTCCATCCAATTCTTGTTCATTTTTCTCATGTCTATCTCCATTTCTCGGTGTAATGTGTTCTTTGGTCTTCCTCTTTTCCTTTGACCTTCAGGATTTCATGTGAGGGCTTGTCTTGTGACACAGTTAGGTGCTTTCCTCAATGTGTGTCCTATCCACTTCCGGCACTTCTTCCTGATTTCTTCCTCCACTGGGATCTGGTTTGTTCTCTCCCACATTACGTTGTTGCTAATAGTGTCCGGCCAATGGATCTGAAGTATTTTGCGTAGACAATTGTTAATAAACACCTGTATTTTCTGGATGATGGCTTTTGTAGTTCTCCAGGTTTCTGCCCCATATAGTAGAACTGTCTTGACATTTGTATTGAAAATCCTGACCTTGGTGTTGGTTGACAGTTGCTTTGAGTTCCAGATGTTCCTCAGTTGTAAATATGCTGCTCTTGCTTTGCCGATCCGCGCCTTCACATCTGCATCAGATCCACCCTGTTCATCAATGATGCTGCCCAAATACGTAAAGGTTTTTACATCTTCCAAATCTTCTCCGTCAATTGTAATTGGATTGGTGCATGCTGTGTTGTATCGGAGAATCCTGCTTTTCCCTTTGTGTATGTTGAGACCTATTGCTGCTGAGGCTGCTGCCACACTGTTTGTCTTCTCCTGCATCTGTTGTTGCGTGTGGGATAGAAGGGCTAGATCGTCTGCGAAGTCTAGATCATCCAACTGCATCTTAGATGTCCATTGTATCCCGCGCTTCCCTTCAGACGTTGACGTCTTCATGATCCAGTCGATCACCAGGAGAAAGAGAAAGGGTGAGAGTAAGCAACCTTGCCTAACACCGGTCTTCACTTCGAACGACGTTGTCAACTGTCCTCCATGCACAATTTTGCAATGTAATCCATCATATGAGTTCTGTATGATATTGACTATCTTCTGAGGCACGCCGTAGTGTCGAAGAAGTTTCCATAGTGTTGTTCTGTCCACGCTGTCAAATGCCTATTCGTAGTCAATGAAGTTGATGTAGAGTGATGAATTCCATTCAATTGATTGTTCCACAATGATCCGTAGAGTTGCGATTTGATCTGTACACGATCTATCCTTACGGAATCCTGCCTGTTGGTCACGAAGTTGGGCGTCTACGCAGTCCTTCATCGTGTTTAACAATACCCTGTTGAAGACTTTTCCCGGTATTGAGAAAAGAGTGATGCCCTGTATTTATCACACTTGCTGAGATCGCCTTTCTTTGGTATTTTGATTAGAAGTCCTTCTTTCCAGTCTGTTGGTACTTGTTCCCTATCCCAAATCTTATTGAAGAGAATGTGGAGTATCCTTGCAGTTGCCGCTACGTCTGCTTTTAGTGCCTCTGCTGGGATGTTGTCCGGTCCTGCTGCTTACCCTTACCACCAACTGTAAATTATTATCTTTATTCCTAAAACTACTTTATAACTTTCATTTATCCCTATTAAGTAGGTAGACACTCTCGAAATGACTTTGGCGTCACTTGAACGTCGTCCATCAATTGTAGTCTTACCGCAAAGTTTACTACAATGTCACCGAATTCTAAACTAAACAATTCAATTTTACAGCTTATATCGATATTTTAAAATTATCTAATAAATAGGATTTTCAATAGTTGAAATCATGAGTCAATTGAAGCTAGATCACCATGGAAAACCTGTAAGCACTGGAAGGCCGTTTCAATCTAGTGTGGGACTCTTCGGCAGTGCGCATCCACGATCCCGCCACCTGCGAGATTCAAACCCGGAACTTATGTCTCGTTGGTGAGCGCTTAACCACTAGACCACTGAGCTGGCCAACAACAAAGGGCACACCATTGTCTTCAGTGAGCTGACATCTCACAACAGACCCGGTTGAACTCCACTGGTCACGGCTTCTCACTAGAACTCCAGGAAATGCCTCTTGAAGTCAGTCAGTAGTGAGCAGACGATTATTATCGGAGAGGATTTTGTGGAGATTTTAGTAATTTCCATAGTCGATGCGCACTGCTCAGGAGTCCCATACTAGAATGAAACGGCCATCCAGTGTTTCCAAGTTTTCCATGATGGTCTAGCTTTAACCAACTCATGATTTCAACTATTGAAATCACTAAAATCTTCATAAAACCCATTTTGAAAATAGGATTTTAACATATTGAATGAACTAATTATTTGACATATTAGTTCACTTCTAAAATTGTTAATTAATATACCCTAAGGTTAACCTTCAATACAATATGTAATTAAGCAATTGCTAATAAGATTAGAATAAATCATTTATTTAATCAAATTTCGAAAGTAAATAAAATTAGTAAGATCAATCTTAGAATATCAGTTAAATGAATTTGAAAAGATAAACCAACTGCTTAGAGAATAAAAAATTTGAATATAAATTAGGTAATTTAAGTAACCAATTATTTTTCAACAGTTGAGATCATAAGTCAGTTGAAGCTAGACCACCATGCAAAACCTGGAAGCACTGGACGGCCGTTTCGTCCTATTATGGGACTCCTCAGAAGTGCGCATTCACGATCCCGCCCCTTCCTGCGAGATTCGAACCCAGGACCTATCAGTCTCGCGCCAGGCGCTCAACCAACTAGACGCTGAGCTGGCCGGCATCCAACGGTGTCAATGTCTAACTTCAACCAATCCACGAAATTCATTTAGAAAATCAATGGTAAACTTTATATCCTATTGGGATATTTGAATTTCTTTTATTTACATAATATAGAATACTTATAATTATATAAATTTATTATACTTATTTTGAAATGTATTCTTTATGTTCAAATAAAACGGTAATGATTATTGGAGTTTAGGTATATCGTGAATGAAACCATCGTCATGGATATGTGTAATTAATGTTCTTGATATATTATGGTGTGGGTTACTTATATCCACATAAATAGTATATCACGGTGGTTAAGCATAGAATGTATTTCAGTAGAAGATCGATAAGGAAAGAACGAGAACGGAACGCAATTGATATGAAAATGCATGAACTATGAAATCTGAGACAATGGACTGATATTTGCAACAGGAACAGTTTTGGTTGATATGATGGTTTGATATTTAGTAAATTAACGATTTACTATATGGTTCTCAGATTTTATTGAAATGCTCGGTAATTTCGCGTCGAAGGTATTCAGTTGTCCCCACTCGTGTTTTTGTTCACTACTATGCGTCTAATTGGTTAGAGTCTCAAATATCTGTCTTCGGTTATCAATGTGATGGTCTAGTGATTAAGATCTTACTGAAGGGACTGAGTTTGATCACTAGCGAGACTGTAAGTGCCCGTTTCTAAAGAGATCTACAGTTGGATGACGCAGTTGATCAGTGTCCCTGTTTTTCAGTGGTTTTTAAATTGGATATCATTCATCCATTTTGTTTTCCGAGTATCGTACGCTAAAGTTTTTATTTTCTCCTTGTATTATTTATAAATAATTCACCGGTTTTAAAGGAGTCACATTATAATTTACCAACTGGTTTACTGACATCAGATTATGAGTAAAATTTAGGGTACAAACAGATATCACCGCAATATTTCATTCACGGTTTATCTTTCTATGGGTCTACGTGTTTTCACGTATAACTTGAACAGGAAATCAATTGATAAATGAATGATTATATATAGCAATTTCACAAGTAAGTTTACACAAATATAAGTAGCATATGCACACAATATGTTAGGTTACGAAACAACAAATATAGTTTCCTGCATGTGATATTTGATATTATAGATACACATTATAAAGTACTTACTTTAGACTGGGAAGACTTTCTGAAAGGTTTTTACGCCTGTAAATAAATAATGATCATCATAGAACATTAGTGATTCATAGGGGTAAAATTTTGCGTAATTATAAATATTGATAAGATATCATGACAAAGAAATATGCTTCATATAATAACCTATCACTCAGTCTGTGGATTGGTTTGCCATTGTGATTATCTCAAGATTCCTCATATATCTTGTTGATAAATGTCTACAAAGAGAAATCATCGATCAACCAATAGCATTCAAACAATCACTTAAACAACAAACACCTCAGCTCTGTTTGGGTTTGAATTACTAATGAATTATGAAACGTTTAAATTACAATGGATATTTAATACTATCGGTAAAGACGAGGTATGGTGGCTACATTATAACTTGATCGATAGGATTCGATATACACTAATAAGGATTTTACACACATAACATTAATCACCACTCAGTGATCAATCAATTGTAAATATACTTCAGGAGGTTAGTCATGGCCCAGATTGGTCAGTGGTAACGTCTCTGACTGTGAAGCTGGGTGATTTGAGGTCGAATCCATCGGGGAGCATCAATTCCCTCAAGATTACAGGTACACCTTGCTGACAAGTGCCAAGTAGCACAAAACCTAAATCTTGGGTTTTATGTTGATTACCTTCAACAACCATCTTAGTATGCGTACTCATTCACAAGACAATAAAGGATTCTTCTACTCCACAACTAAACTATATACCTATTTCTAAATCAAAAGTGTAAATTGGGCTCTGATTCAAAATTTAATTTCCGAAAATTCTGATTGGATAGAAATGAGCTTTATCATCTTATTTTTATGAATAGCTCCTTAATATCAGTAAACTTTCATTGATTAAATATGTATGGCAGATTGAAAAGTCACAGTAAAAATGGAATAAATTAATAAACAACTTTTAAATGGGTGTATAAAAGAATAGGATCATAAAATAATTAACATTTTTAAATTGTTCGATTGTCTTTTATCAAAGTAAAGAAGAAGATAAACATTTGGTTACCATGGTTACCACTAACTAATAGTTAGGTTTGGATGAATTAAATTAACGAAAGTTAACTATGAATAGTTTCAAATTCAATTTAATTAAATAATATTGAATATAATTTATTTTTCTATGTAAGCGAATTTTCAAAAACTCGATCAGGAAGATCTGACTTTTAAATAATTATACGGGATTATTTTTGTGATAGGACAGTTAGTCATTTATTATAGATTAATGTAGATTAGATCAGAGCGTACTGCTGAGGAGTCTCAAAATAGGATAAAACTACCATGCAGTGCTAACAGGTTTTCCCTGGTGGTCTAGCTTCAATTGACTCATGAATTCAACCATTAAACTACTATAATATCTACAAAATCCCTCTCTGATTATATTCATTAAATCCTCACTAGTGACGGTCTCCAGGAGGTTTTTCTGGAGTTCTACTGAGAAGCCGTAATCAATGGGGTTTACCCGGGTCCGTTGTGAGATTGTAACTCACTGAAGACAATGGTGGATGTGTCGCTCAATTTGGTGGATTACTTGAAGTTATTCATTAACAACATTGGACGCCAGCCAGCTCAGTGTCTAGTTGGTTAAGCGCCTGACGCGAGACCGATAGGTCCTGGGCTCGAACCTCGCGATGTGGGACCTTGGCAACGCACTACTGAGGAGTCCCATACTAGGTTGAAACGGCTGTCAATTGCTTCCAGGTTTTCCATAGTGGTCTAGTTTCAATTGGCTCAGAAATTCAACCATTAAATTACTATAAAATCCAAAAAATCCCAAAATGATTATTTTAAATATGATGACAGTTTTCAGTTACTAATTGACTTAGGTAGGGGAATGACTGAAAATGACAGAGACCTGAAGTGTTTTCAATGGGATATTATTTGAAAATGTGTTTGAAATATGTTCTGTATCATTATTTGTGAAACAAACAAATTGTCATGAATGTAACCAAGTTTTTAATCAAAAGTTCAATATGTTCTGCGTGATCACTTTTCTGGAAGTAAAGGAACTGGTAAACAAATCACTATGCTTGTTAATTACTTCAGCCAATATTTTGTGCAATGATGAATACATTTATGTCTCCCGAAATCACTTTATATACTGAATGATTCCAAATATAATTCTTAATCGCTTTGGTTCAAAGAGGTCATTGAACTGCCACTTTTAAACCAAAAATTTATCAACTAAGTTTTGTCACCAAATGAATGAACAAACTGCATAAATGTCTTTATTTTCTGTCTTTTATTATTTTAAATGAGTACTTAGATTAACTTAAAGTTATAGGTGACTCAAACACATTATTTCCATTCCATAAACGTCTGGTTATTCCTTCTAGTATTTAAAAGAATAAAAGTGTGCTGAACTTAAAAATTCCTAATTCCATGAAGACTTTATTATGATGAATTGACTGACTATACATAAAGCTTAATAGGTAGGAAGAAAAATTGCTAGCTACACCTTAACATAATTGTAAGTAATAGATTTAAAATCTGTGCATTATGGTACAGAAACTATAAACGTTTGCAGACTCATTGTAAAACAATCTAACAGGGAAAATCACGAAAACCAGTCTTATCAATATGTTATTAATTTGGATGTTGAATACTTTCATTACTGTCATAAATAATTATCTGTTATTTTTCATTTGTCAGGTAAGTTCCATTCTCTCGTGTTTTACTTCATTTTCAATAGGTACTTGAATAATTAACGATTGATGACTACTTGGTTTCTAAAAAGATCACAGGGACTTTAACGTTTACGTTAATTTTTTTTGAACTTTCGGACACAGTTTATTCTTTTTTGGGTTGTTATTAGTGCTCATATAATTTTCCTTATTAAGTGCACATTGTTAACTTTGAACATTTTTATATATGAGTATGTGTTTGCATGTGTATCTGGGTTACTGGGCATCTATATATTTAATTGTATTTGATATATTCTTTATGTGATATAAAAGCGAACTCATACATAACTCGTTTATTGGCTAATGATGGTCAAATATCACACAACGAACATCTGTTCATATTTACCATCTATTTACTTGCATAAGGAAGCCTGAAATAAGCTCTTCTATAACGTTTCTTATTTGGTTTTTATGACCACTGTTTCACAATAGGGTAAACCCAGTTCATTATATACAAAACTAAATGAGGGATTTATATTTCATTCATCATCATTGGGATTACTCGAGTCAACGCGAGTGCCGATAATACGTAAAGGTTTGATATATTTCAATTAGACAATAATAACCTTAGTAGGAATATGTTACATTGGACTGAATTAAAGTCCTAATCAGAGACATTATAAGATTTTTGTTCAGAAAAATTAATCTTCAGAAACTGAGAGATAGCCTATGATCTAGAGTTTGCACTCTAAATTATACTTCATCGGTGCATGATTGTAAATTTAAGAGAACTGGCGTTCCATTGTAAGATTCATATCTCAGTTGATTAGCTTCAGCTAATAATAGTCAATCTCTTATTCTATCTTACAGTAGATCAGATGCTGTCAATTCTATGAATATCATAAAATTTGTTATCAGTTTTAATTATAAAACAAGTTTAAGCTTCTTTTAAATTATTGAACTACTATGCTGATTGACCAGGGTTTTTTTGTTTAATTAAATACTAATGATAGATAGTTTTAGAAAAATAGTTTCTTTGATGTAATAATTAAATTTGCTAACTATTACATAAAATGTTTCATTTGTAAACTTTACGGCCAATGAATAATCCATTTTCTGTACGAAATATTTGATCAGTTCATTGATTATATAATTTTTTTTGTAATAATAAATAGGTGAGACTATAAATTATGGATGACCTTTGAAAGACGCTAAAAAAATCTTGAGAATGTCCATCCACATTACTCACTTACTTACGCCTGTTACTCCTCATGAAGGAACATAGGCCGCCCACCAGCACTCTCCATTCAACCCTACCCTGAGCAATCTTTTCCAGCTCTTTCCAGTTATTGTTCATCCTTTTCATATCTGATTCTATTTCTCGACGTAATGTATTCTTTGACTTTCCTCTTTTCCGCTTCCCTTGAGGATTCCAAGTTAGGGCTTGTCTCGTGGTGCAGTTTGATGATTTGCGTAGTGTATGTTCTATCCATTTCCATCGTCTTTACCTAATGTCCTATTCAGCTGGAAGCCGGTTTGTTCTCTCCCTCAAAAGGCTGTTGCTGATGGTATCCGGCCAATGGATGTTGAGTATCTTGAGTAGACAGCTATTTATAAATACTTGTACCTTCTTGATGGTGGTTGTTGTAGTTCTGGAAGTTTCAGCTCCATACAGTAGAACTGCCTTGACGTTTGTATTGAAGATTCTCACTTTGATATTGGTTGACAGACAGTTGTTTTGAGTTCCATATGTTCTACAGTTGTAGGAATGCGGCCCTTGCTTTGCCAACCTTCGTCTTTACGTCTGCATCTGATCTTCCTTGTTCATGGATGATGCTTTCCAGATACGTGAAGGATTTCACACCTTCTAGAATTTCTCCGTCAAGTGCGATTGGGTTGGTTTTCTCCGTGTTGTATTTAAGGATCTTGCTTTTTCGTCCATCTACATACTACGGCTAAATGAAGGTTATAATCCAGCGTAAGGAATTAGGATTAATATTTTCAGTTGATAGTTAGGGTTAGAAATCATATATAGGGTTTTCATCACGAATTAGCATCAGCTATAATGCCAAAACTCTATTTAACCAAATGGGTAAGTGAATTTCGTGCCAAAATTCAAGAACTTTTATCATAAATCTGATTGGTTCGTCCATAAATTATAGTCTCGCCAATAATAAACAATACTCAACTATGTAGTTGATTAAATAGATTTATTGTAAATGATAACAGAAAACTATTTTGATGATTAGTTTCAATCATCTCTAATATCATTTTCTTTCCATGTTACCATAGGATAGATGAAAACTATTCATCCCCTTTATGTCATAAATAGCGTAATCATGAATCTAATTTTATTCAATAGAATAAATAGTAATTAATTTGTCATGCAAAGTGATTGTGGTATACTGTACTGACTTCATGAATGTAATTAATTTGTCATGAAATGAGGAGAAAAAAGACTGAAGATGTGATGTAGAATCTTTTTTTAAAAAAAACATCAATGCAAGCTAGAATATCCGCTAAACGAAAAAAGAGAGGAACTCTATCAGAAATATGACAATAAAATGATCATAATTTCAAACATAACGTTCAAGGTGAAGCTGACAACCAGATATGTCATCATACTTAGTGACATAATCTGTGTGAATGTTTTTGACTGGTTATCTCCCAGAGGTGGGTTTTTTGAAAATTGTGAACAGTGATTTGTATTATGTCTATGCTTTCCACATAAATTATTTATTCATGTGAGATAAGGAATAAAATTTAATAAACTAGTCCATTGATTTCATGATTTTAAATTAAGTAGTTTCTAACCGTATACCTATTGATTCTAGAATGAACTATATTGAACAAGTATATATATCAGAAATGGTTTTTTGTGGATATTTTAGTTATTTTAATAGTTGACATTATGAGTCAGTTGAAGCTAGACCACCACGGAATACCTGGAAGCACTGGAAGCAGTAGTCACTGGAGTTCAACCAAGCCTGTTGTGAGATAGTAACTTACTAATGAGAATGGTGGATGTGTCACTCAATTTGGTGGAGTACTTAAAGTTGGACATTAACACCGTCGGACACCGTCTCAGTGGTCTAATGGTTGAGCGCTAGCGCGCGTCACTGATAAATCCTGGGTCCGAATCTCGCTAGGAGGGGCAAGCTCGTGGATGCGCACCTCTGAGGAGTCCCATAATAGGACGAAACGGCAGTCCATTGCTTCCAGATTTCCCACGGTGGTCTAGCTTCAACTGGCTGATGATCTTAGCAATTAAAAAGTATATATATATATATGTTTACAAAAAGGAGTAAGATAAATCTGAGGGCAATTAAAATTTTATAAAACAAAACTAACTGCATATATGATGTGATAAATTTGTTTAAATTTTTCGGATTAATTGAATGACGCAAGTTTTGACGAAAACTTTCAACAGCATTGCGTAACTCCACTTCACTCTCAGTTTCAACAACCTAAAAGAAATGAATAAAAACAGTTTATCACAATATAAAAAAAGAATGGAAAACAAAATACTTATTCATGATTACAAACACGATAGCATTCACAATTTTGTGCGTTTTTCTTTTTTTTTTTTAGCAATTATTAGTATGCTTAAGAAGTATGTTAAAGCCATAATTTTTGGCATATAGAAGAAAATAGATAGGGGTATTGTCTTGTCATAATTTGATATGAAAGACTGTATATTAGTATGGATTTTGTAGAGTTTGATTAGTATTACTTTTAGATCAAACTTACTGGACATGATTTATGAATAGTTTAACTATTTCAATTAATAAACATTTTAAACTCTAATGCATAATATCATTTTTGTTTAATACATTGAAGTTATAAGCTAACAAGTCACTGTCCCAATAGCATCATACTTGTCTTTAAACCTTAATATCTTGGATGAAATCTTACGTAAGTAAACAATAATAAGAACGAAAAAGCTATTGTATCACTCATTATTTTTTTATTTCTACTTATGAAGATTTCATATCATTATGAAAAATACTGCATGATTAAAATGTACACATGAATATGATACATGTTTACATGTATCCAGGCAAATGTTGTTGTTCTTTTTTGCACGAGTTACTGATGACCTACATTTTTATCAAGAAAAAAAATTTCTTTGCTCATTATAGTTCATTGATTCAATGAACTAAATTTTTGTAATCATTATTCAATGTAATTAGGTTAATGAGCTAATTTCATTAATTTATTAAAAAGAAATATCAAAATGATAAATGAAAGTAAATAAGAGACTAATATTTGAATAAAGAATATTCTTTTCGATCAATTCTCTTCAGGTTCTACAATTCACATATATCCAAATTAATAAACCGGAAAATGGTCAGATTAAGGGCAATGTACATCGTGAATTTAAGATTGAGATAAACAAATTACAATAAAATTGTTAATGTTAATATGACTCATAGAGAATGTTAACTTGAATTTGCATATATGTTAAGTGAATCGTAATTGTACTATTATTTCTCTTATTGTTGGGGACGTTAGATCCCAAGAACTCATTTGAGAAAGGACCTAATTTTGTAATTTTATTTAGAAAATTTGAATTTCTTTGTTTTCGCGCCAAAGACACTCTTGTCACCTTCATGTCGTATTTCCCACTGGGAAATATCTTAAATGCTATTGGTCCGTTGTGTCTTTTAGTATGCTATTTGGTAACTCTCTCCAAGGACGGTTTTGTACTATATATATATATATATGTTTTGAATTGTTTTGTTGTTATCGCTCGTTTCTGGCTGTTTGCAGAATGTACTTCCCATTCCAAGCTTGGAATTCTCGCTCTAGTTGGCGGGGCTGGGACGCATTAATAGCTAGCTGACTTGTCTTTGGTCAGCGAGTCTTGTTTCTCGTTCGCAGATTGAGTGAACTCGTGATGGCTTCAACCCTGGCACTTATCCTATCTGACCCATATTTAGTCTGATCATGAATCTTAAAATTTTCACTTAACGTATATACAGATTTAAGTTAACATTCTATATGAGTCATATTAACATTAACAATTTTATTGTGTTTTGTTTAATAATCCTAAATTCACATACTTTAAACAATGTACTTTACCCTTAACCTGGCCATTTTTTTTGGATTATTATATTGGATTATATAATAGTAGAACCTGAAGAGAATTGATCGAAAAGAATATTCTTCATTCAAAGATTAGTCTTTTAAGGTGTTGGGTATCTTTAAACGATTAGAAAGTAAATAAATCGTTTGGAATAATTGTAAATAGGAGAATAATAAAAAATTAGTTTTTATTCTTTTCATTGGTAAAAAATAAACTTAGTTTCCAAGCTCGACAGTGTCTTTTTTTAATTGATATTCTAAACATGGTAATACCAACTTATTACCCATAGTAGTAATCACATTGTTCTTGTGTACTTTGATAAATTTCTTCTTTATTACGGCTTACCTTTAACCTGTCTAGTTGATCTTTTAATTTTCATATAAAATTGTCTTAACAAGTAAATAAGGAGGAGCAATCATAATTTGCAATTAAGAGTGGGTGAACACATACCAAAATGGCTGCAGAAACAAATGGATTCCGACGGTCAGATAAGATCACAGGATAAACAGACATCATTCTCCATTGCGAAACACTTGATTGAGACTGGTCATAAGGTTGATATCAAGTCATCATTTGTAGTTTTGTACAAAAGCCTTTAAGGACATATATTAAAAAGTATTGAAGCCTTGTCTATACGGAAACTGAAACCCCCTTTATGCGTTCAAGAACAATTTATGCTTACACTTAACCTACCCTGGTAATACTGATTTATTATGCATAATGGCAATCACAATGCTTTTGTGTACTTTAATATTATTATTTTCCTTGTTACAGTTTGTCTTTAATTCGTCTTGTTGACCTCTTAATTTTCATATAAAATTGTCTTAACAAGTACATATGTGTGATCAGATTGTTCGAAGTATAATACACAAATATATATGACATAATTCTGATCATCTTCATCTTCTCATTGCATTATCGAGATATAAGGTTATACTTTAGTTAAATATTCCTTTGTGGTACAAAATGTTAATGAATAAATAATGTTTGATTAAAGTATAAATAAGTATTACCAGTAGTTAATTGTGAATGTAATCTTATTCAGAGACGAGGAGTATACGTACATGAATATTTCTCCTACCTCAATTTTCTTTAAAACAACTAAACACTAACTTGTTGATATCTTATCTCCTAAATCACTCTTTGATCAAGTGTTGCATGTCATTATATTTCAACGCACTTGACATGGCACTCAAAACTGAGGTTTAATGTTTGAAAATTTCTGTAGTTTAGTACGGTGATATTAGGAACATCTATGTTAGGTTTCCGATTTTGCGACTTCCTATGTGTTAATTTCGAAATATGTTGAAATCATCATCATAATACATGTGTGCGATTTCAGTTGAAGAACATTAGAGCTGAGGAGAATTCTTACATTGAATCAAACATAAGACTATCATAAATCATAGTTAGCACGCTATCAGTATGCGAAAAATGTCAACAGTCAACATTCTCAATTCCGATTTATGTCGTGATACCATGTAGTTATGACCAATTGTCATGACTGGTATAGTATTAGTTTGATACGAGTATTCAGTTGGAAGATAGGTGTCTTGATGAGTTACCAGGTCCGTAATTGACCCTTTATAAAATCTAGTCACTACCTCATCGAATATGTGACCGACTTCATACGTCACAAACTGGCTTAGAAACTGCTTCGCAGCTAGTCTCAGTATTTTCACCGTAATCATTAATTTTGTATAGATTTTTATATATTTTTGGGGTTTCATATTTAGTTGTGGTTACGACTTTGTGCAAAGCCGTAAGCTTACATGACATAGTTGTTTTGATTTACATAAATTGTATCATGTGTATAACTCAGTGTTATGAAGTGTTGACCATGAATAAGGTGCTAAACGATGAAATAGATTTTGAAAGTTTTTTCCATAGTTTATATAACCTACTGATGTCAGATTAATACCTTCTTGATTTTCGCTGTTCGTTGAGTATAATTTAATTTGTGAAATAAACTATGAATCAACTAACTTCCATAAGCACTCCATTAGCTATTAGCTCAGTAATAAATATCTTATCAAATAAGAAATAATGTAGTTGTATCCTGATACGTTTTGGTATTATTTACTAGTTAGTTGAGTATTGACAAGTCATTTTCATCAAGAAAAATCATTACATTAAGCTATTTACATAATTAAATCTCCCCTCTGCTGCAAACAACCCAAACAGGGTGGTAAACAGTTTCTTTGTATTCTATAATCATAAATAATTTACTGTCTCATCTCATTAAGATTTAAATGGCATTTATCATAATCCAAAGAATTTTGTTCTAATTAATTCATTCAAATGTATCAACAAAAGAAAGTGAGTTGGTTTAAAGTAACTGTTAACATAAAAAATTTGACATAAAACTGTGCTAATATCTAACTTACCGAACCGAAACGATGTATAATTAGAAAACTTTCAGTGGCTGGATTCATACCAGATGAGCTTAATTTCCAGTTCATTAACTAAACAAAATAGTAAATATTGGAATAGATCCATAATAAATATATTAAGAGAAAACAGTACGATCAGTCTTACCTCAAATCATTGCAATATTTATGTATATATTTATTACTGTTTGTTTGAAGTTAGTCAATATAAAATCCAGGAACTTGATTTCTTCAAGTCTTGACGCTTAATTTTTAATATTTTATGACAACATATATAAGGGAACAATATTGTCTCCGAGTAGATCGTCATCAGGCTTTACTTTAATATACTGTAAGGAAACGTAGTGTCAAGACAATACGCAGCTTGGTTCTATCACACTTGATCTATAGCGGTCATGTAGTGGATAGAAACAAGTCATTTTAAGTTATTTACCGTATTCCTATTAGTTTCCCTTATGGTGTTTGATCTCGTCTCTTGCACATAGCAGAAGCTATAGGACTTCGAGCTAACAATCCAAGTCTTTGTGTTCAGATGAAATTTGTAACACCCTTATCTCTCCCTTGGTTTTAATAAATGAATTTATTTTCCATACTCTTTGTTCGTTTATTTTTCTTCACACCCTCCCACCTTTTTTTCTTTCTCAGATATACGTTTTACGGTCTAATTATCTGAACACTCCTTATTACGTCATCTTATAATTTTATAAATGTTATCTCACTGTCTATATGTTTTTCTAATCATTGACCTATTTCCGATTATGTTACATTGATTCAAACCTTTACTATTCTTATGACAACTAGTACACTTGTCATTACACTATCAATTTGTACTTTTCACTTATTCATGTAGCCTATTCCATTGTTGCCATTGCCTCGTAGACTACCTTATTTGGTTTAATAATTTTGTATTTGCATATAAATATTACTGTATATTAAAGTAAAACCTGATGGGGACCTAATCATCTCTAATAAATGTCGATTATTTAAGAAATTTTATACATCTAGTTCTCTTTATCATTTAAAAAAAAAGAGAAAGAACAAAAATTCTATTAGAGTATTCAGACGAGAACCTACGAAATAAAATGAATTCATGTTATTCTTTTAGAATCTTTATTCTTGCTCTTTTCAAAATATTGATTAATTATCTTTTACAATTAAATAATTCAATCTCTAATTACTTGATTATCAGCAAAATTAATAACTAATTATTATTTAAACTCAATCATTTACCCTATTACTTCTTAATTATAACATAAATAATAAATTCGTTCAAGTTAATGTACAATAACTCCACCTGGAGTCCCTCCGGGTGCTACTGTCGGTCCCAAGCCCTGATAAAGGAGGAGGGTTGTGCATGGGGTTAGCGACCCCATCCAGTAGAAAACTAATTCACTAAAAAAAAACGCTAACCAAAATATAATGTATAATGTAATTACATTGACAAAATTTATTGGTTGATTACATCATCATGAAATAAGTTTAAATTATTAAAAAAGAAGTGTCTATAAATAAAATTCAAATTGATTTCTTGCTTAAAATGTTACTTGTCCATGAATAGAAAAAGAAAAATCTTTTTAATACATTATATCATACATTATTTCAACATTTTTGTTTGTGTTTTCCAGTGTCTAGGGCTATATTTCAAGAAGTTTCTATGGTTTTGTCAAACATCTGTTTGATATTTTTGTTTTTATGATGTTTTGTGATTTTCTGACAATTTTTATACTACCTAGACTATCATGTCATTGGATAGTAACTGATATAAACTAAATACACCTATCAAGACATTCAATAAGAAAGATTAGTTCAGCGAAGAAATCTCTTTCCGGCGAATTCATTTTCAAAGCTGTACAATTGCAAATATGTATACTTATTCTTACAGGATGATAATAGTACTGATAATAAACTTCTGTTAGACATGGTGACAGTGAGGTTAAATAAAAAGGGGTATTAAAAAATTCTTTTAGAAACAAGGAAAGTTTATTAAACGTTTGATTGTTAATGACTGAAGTATTTATCAAAAGATAGATAGGGAAATTACCATCGGGAAAGGATGGCTCAGCATGATAAAATAAAATGTTGAAACAGAGATGAAATGCAATCGGAGTGATCGTGGAAATAAAAACAAACCAGTTGGGTGTAGAAGATTTAAAGGGAAGATGGAAGGTGAAGGAGGTGGCTGTAAAGGAACAAGAGTATGAAAAAGAGAGAAAATTTTAACACATTAAGACCATAGTAGAAGAAGAGGTTGTACCAATATCTTCTGCACACACGATTCTGGTTTTCCCAGATGTATGGCTATTGCTTCGGCATTGCAAAGAAGATACAGTCTGATTGTTTTGGAAGACTTCTACTTGCCTTGTAAATGACTTTGAACGTAGAGTCTGTCTTGATTGAATGACCTGTGTTCACAAGGTGTTCGACTATAGAACCTCTTATTGAGCCGTTGCCTCCTCTTTTTAGCCACGCCGGATAATGTTCTTGAATTCTTTTGGATAAAGTACGCATCGAACGACCTATATATCTAGCTCCACAAGAGCAGGTAAATGACTGATATAATTTTTTCTGAGATATAAACTGGCAGAAGGTTGAACATTCCAACACGTAATCATCAACGTTTATAAGGTGTGTGTATGGGGGGGGTCACACCTATTGATGGAATACGAGGTTAATGTATACTTACAAAATAGTGAGAATTCTCAAACTTAGAGACTAGTTTCACAGTATATGGGCGCCGAGTTAATGTGATACATTAAAGAGAAAGAATGTATTTGTAAAATCTTAGCAAATGAATTTTGAAGTAAATCCAACGTTTCGCATGGCAATTCGGTTCAAGCATTTACAAGGATATTTCCTTGGATTTACTTCAAAATTCATTCGCTGAGATTTTACAAATTAAACAAAGACTGTTCTATATTTGTAAATATAGCTTCACTCTTTAGTAATGATCATTTTCAAGATATTCAGGATTTGAAAAAAACCCAGCCAAATAGTAGTCTCTTTTACTTAACTAATGGTTGAGGTGTACATTTTCAGAATGATTACAAATCGCGGTAATTTATTTAATAACACTTGGTAGCTCCTAAAATGATAGATATTTATAAAGTCTAATAAAGCATATAGTATGGATATTTATTTTATCAATTACATTTCATCCATATGCATAGAATGATAACTATTACATCATATTTTATCTTTTAGTTGACATTCACTTATTACCTCTTAGTTGAAACATCTGATGTGTTGATGTTACTAAACTAATATAAACTGTTTTATTTTATTTTATTTGATAAAATAACCACATGCTTATGCAGTTTTGGAGGTATAAATTGAAGTGATTGTCGTATTTTGATTATAGGAAGAAAAAGGTCATTAGATAATAGAATTGTTCTTGATCTTAATTTATTTTTGAATTGTTTGTTTGAATCTTTACTGGATTCCATTACTAGCCACCAACTATCTTTGCTTATAATGTCCTTGATCTGTTTGTATATTTAAAACAATTAGTTCCTTTGATAAATATTGATAATGCAATGAGAAGATGAAGATTATTAGAATTATGTCATATATATTTGTGTATTAGATTTCGAACAATCCGATCACACATATATACTTGTTAAGACAATTTTATATGAAAATTTAAAACAATGTGATTACTACCATGCATAATAAATCAGTATTACCAAAGTAGGTTAAGTGTAAGCACAAATTGTTTTCGAACGTATAAAGGGGGTTTCAGTTTCCATATAGTCAAAGTTTCAATAAACCTTAATATACGTCCTTAAAGGCTTTTGTACAAAACTACAAAGGTTGAATTGATATCAACCTTATGACCAGTCTCAATCAAATGTTTCACAATCGAGGATGATGTCTGTCTATCCTGTGATCTTACATGACCATATAAGTACGTATGTATTCATAGTTGGATAGAGAATGCTGATGCGTAACCGATGTCCCTCCATCAGGGTTAACAAGCGTAAGTTAATCAGTAACGTATATCTTAGGCAAAAAACATTAATTTCATTTAATAAAATCCACTTATCTTTTTTTTAAAATCTACACCTGGGTTTATTATTAATACTGATATCGAATATCAGGTCAAATATTTATCATATCAACCTGTACTATAATTTCTTTCTGTTTTTACATTGAATATTAACAGCTATGTATATCTAATTATCAGTACTAATTAACCATCTGTTTATCAATATAATGAATACTTTATCTTTTCCTTATTTACTTTGTTATAAAACTAGGAAAATAGATTCAAACATGAAATTTCTTATCTAATGATAATTCCTTGAAAAAGCTTGGACCAGTTTGTCAGAAGAAACGTTGAATTTACCTCAAATTGTTTCGCTGAAATTTTACAAGTTTATTCTTCCTCTATAATACATAATTAAATGTTATGTAATTAAGAAAGTATTTTACTAATAAACATTTATGTTTTATAAATGAATTCATCATAATGATGATATCAATGGGTATATCATTGAAAATCTAATAGTTGAGAATTCTAAATCTAAATATATAATTCTGTTATAAACTATAAACTTATGGTATTAGATTCACTTGGTATTAATTGGCTTGTATCTTCCCATGGAGGTTGGTATTTGATCTTATGAAGAAGTTTTGTTAGATATCATTTTCTTTGTTGAGTGAAATCCGTTTATTTGTGTTGTCACAATGAACTTCTGCATTATAAATAGTATTATTTCGTTATATGAATGTTAACTCTAAAACTGGCCTCTCCCCTCCAAATCTCAATCCTGAATACATAGCCGTAACTGTGAATAATGTGAAGAATTTTTGAAATTAATTTAGGTCATTATATTGGGTTTAGAAAGAGGATAATCAATATCTGTAAAGACGAATTTAAGTAAGTTTTTCTTTCCAATTTAAGGCTAGGATAAACTATAGAAGATTTAAACAGACTCATTAAATTCATAAACTCTGTTTATCATTTACTTTGACTCATCATAAACTATTCACTTTTTAAAGCTGTGTTTTTGGTTGGCTGATCATGAGTTGAAAATTAATTGCGGTAGTTTCAAGATCGTTTCTATACTATGCCATTGCTTTGTATTTAAGTATTAGTGTAATTGTAAGTTTAACAACTGAAACATGATCTTTTCCAATGCTGTACAATAATGTAAATTGAAAATATCAAAGGTGTGAACACATTTTAAGTTCTTTACATTCTCTAGAACAGTTTAAGAATTTTCCATTTTCTTATACGATAAAGTAAATTAAAATAATATTTTTAAGTACATAAAAAATTACTTGAATACCCAACATGTATTCAAAAAGTTATACAGACTTGAAATTAATGGTACTATAGCGGCTCTCCTACAATTAATGTTGCCAGTGTTGTTCGAACATTAACAATTTGTCTATTACTTTGTATTATTACAGTTACTATCATGTTTGTATAAACGTGCATGCTTGGTCACATGTGACAACCTACTCACATAATCCTCATTTTAACTTAGATGTTAATCGCTTAAATATTCCTTGATGAATCATGTATAAGTGCTTGAATCATATTAATTGCCTTGTCTTGATTTGCTTCGCCTCGATTCGATTCAGTTCGACTCTGAATCCGCCTTTGTATTCGCTAGCTCACGCGCATTATCCTCTTTGCTCCAATTCGCCCAAAGTGCTTGTAACTTTGTTATCTGTGTTCTGTTCAGTAATAAATTATAATTGCCACTTCATATTGAATTCTGAATTCATACACCGTTGGGATTTATTTAATAATAGTTATCAGGTTGATTGATAAACGAAGCCTAAGAAATTATTTTGGAGCCAATCTACCACAGTTCACTTAATTCTGATTTGAAGTGCCTCTTACAATAACAATAAGATTCAAATTAGGGGTGATAATAAGTGGTTTGAGAACACATGAACATGAATAACAAAAGGGTAACCAAAGTTATATAGTAAATACCTTGAAAAAATTCGATGAATAAAACAACTTCATTAATTTTTAGATGATTCAATAACTATCTGTTTTATTATAGACTAATATATGCTAATTCATTATAAAGACGACTGTATAGCTTTAGTAAATTTACATCATAGGGGAAAAGTTTTGTTTTCATTCAAATGTTTGAATGAAACAAGTAGGTCCTGAGTTCGAATCTCGCAGGGGGCAAGGTCGAGGATACCCACTACCGAGGAGTCTTACAATAAGACAAAACGGCCGTCCAGTGCTTCCAGGTTTTCCATGGTGGTCTAGCTTCAACTGACTCATGATCTTAACCACTGATATTATCAATTTCCTAAATATCACAGGTTTGTATTGATGGAAAGTTTCAACTAACGTGAAACATAAGTTAAAGGTTTCATGTCAAATGCCTTCGATTAAACGACATCAAAACTCCAGGACAGTGGAAACAACTAAGATAGTATCATGATATCTGTGGCTAACGCAATACAGTTGACTGATTAGTGAGGTGAATCAGGTTGTTCATTGTATTTAATTAAAAGGTCAAGAAACAAAACATGAATCTTTCTATTTTCAATATGTTGACATGAACGTATAAAGTCTGCTTTTAGTTTACTATCGAGTGTATTGACACTGATACCAGCTGAAATTTGTTTCAATCCTTGAGTTGAAAATCATTTTGTGTTTCAGCCATACTCTTTTAAATAAACATAAAACAAGTCGAATTATAAATGATATTGTACTGAATATGAGTTTTAAAGTTCATAGACATCTCTACGTGAATTGATGAATGTACTTTGAAATAAAATGGCTCTCTAGTTTTAATCTAAATGAAATAATTGATCTTGATTTTAGTGTGATAATCGACGTAATCAAGAACAGTTGAACACGTTTAAAGCTAGTAGAGATATACATGTTTACATAGATTTGTGATGACGATTTTGTTAAAATGTACCTTTTTTACGGATTATATAAAACGTATATCTTGTATTTCTATGTATATTGCCTGTATGATAATTATGTAACTAATTTTTTATCAATACTTAAGTGTTAGTAAACAAGACAGACCTAGTAACTCACTTTAATCGATAACAAATATTAGACATATCAGTATTTTGGGGGGGGGGCTAATCACACTTCATAATCAGGAATAGAAAAAAAAGAAAATTTGTATAGAAATGAAAAGATAACCTAATTAACTCGAAAAAAAGGATTAAATTGTAAGACGAAATGTAGAAAGAAATCTAGTTATTATTGGTTTTATAGATTTTCTGTAGATGTAGTCATTTCTACAAGTAAATCATATCACAAAATTAACGTTAACTAGAAAAAAGTTGAGAAATTCTATTTAAAAGGACTACTGAATAGTTTGTCAGTTTTCATTTAAACAAATTTAAGGAATATTTACCTAATAGCTGTATGTAAAATTTAGCTTAAGAGCAATGTATCGGATTGTGAGAACAATACGATTGATTTCATGAGTGGAAATTTCAACGATTCATGCTCTTAAATTTAGTCAAGATGTGTAGTACATAACTCATTATTTTTAATAAGTTTGTATTAGTTTCATGTTGATTAACATAACGGCTTTACGATAGAATAATGATGTCAGTCAAGACTTGTTTTATTTTTATTAGTTCACAAAATAATGTCATTTTCGGCTGGAATGACTTTTGTAATTATTAAAACCTGACAAAATGTTGAACATCTCATGAAATATTTATTTTGATGACTGTCATCAATTTCATAGTCATTCTTTGTAACTTGAGGACCGAACTGTAAAAGTATACATTACCTTACTAAGAATAGATGGTAACAATCTAGATAATAGGTTGTAAACTAATTGATTTGCTTTTGTAAGCTTAGAACAGTTTATTTCACATCTAGTAACTGTGATATGAGACATTTTCATTGTATTTTAAAGATTATTCTAACTTGATTAATATTAGTTTCATGCAGATATACAAATTGTAAATAGATGTTTATTATTAAGTGGTAATATTAAATTCATGTAAGACACCTCCATAAATTTAGGTAGATATTTAATATTTCACCGTGAAAAATAATAAGATTACAAATAATGAACTGTGAAATATGCCGTTCATTCATTTAGTGAGCTGATCATCTTTTGGGGGTGTTTTTAAATGTTGAAAATAAACTCAATAACACAATAAACTGTATATAATGTTGTGGGGTTTAAAAAAAAATCAGGGAAAACCGTATGTGATATAGACTTCTATTATCCTTAGTACTGGCTTGCAAGATACATTTGTTATGAATTTATCACTAATCAGTTAATCAGTATAGTATCTGTCATTTCACAGTTATAATAGTAAATGTCCCTAACAGTAGTATATATTAGTAGAGTTTGTTAAGACTTTTAATGCTGAAATTAATTTTTATCAAGAACTAGAACAAGTTAGATAACCAGCATCGTAAAGATTTTCAAGAGGATAAATCATCTAATTCATGCTTTTTAATTGTTATCCATTTATTGTAGGTCCATTAAAAAAATGAAGTCAAAGTAGATCATTTACTACCAGTAAATGCTAGGAAAAAAATTTTTTTCTACAGAAAAATTGTGTTATTAAAAAGTAATCCTTTATTGTATTTTAATTTATTTTATTTTAATACATGAGTTTTAGTTCTAAACTAATTACTCACAAAATATAATAATAATAATATAAATAGTTACACACCCTGAGGATGCAGTTTATTCAACTGATGATTCAGTTTTCAAATCTCCCTACTCTTGACATTGTTTCTCGTGTATATTATCTACTGATTATTGAATATGTGGTTCCATCGAATAATGATATTTTAATGTCAATTCTATACTCCGTTTTTTTACAGGTTTGTTTTTACAAAACTTTTGTGGTTTTATTCATCTTTAAGTGTTTAAATTACCTTTTTCTTTTTGCATGAAATAACAATGTCTTATGTTGCTTAAGTAAATATTTGTAAGTAAAAATTTGTGTTTACACTTAACCTACCCTGGTAATACTGATTTATTATGCATAGTGGTGAAGATGTCACAGGTATTCGGAGTTTGCCAACGCTTTAACCAGTAACACCATCTAATATGAATTGTACCCACCAAGTGAAGTCAAAAAACCGAAGCGAGGAGGTTCGAAGATGTATTTGATAGGCTATCGATAAATCGAGGGTCGTCTGATCTAATCTGGCTAGCGGTTGCAGCGCGTTGTTGCGCGCGGCGTTCTCACTCGTGATCTGGTGCAAATGCATGACCAAGCACCTTCAGCTAGGTGAGTCCATTAAAACTAATATGGTCAGCATCCAATGTCGAAAACTTACAGAGCTATTTATTTTTGGGATTTATTTACCGCTACAGTGGTAATCACATTGCTTTTATGTACTTTAATATTATTATTTTCCTTGTTACAGTTTGTCTTTAATTCGTCTTGTTGACTTCTTAATTTTCATATAAAATTGTCTTAACAAGTATATATGTGTGATCAGATTGTTCGAAATGTATTACGCAAATATATATGACATAATCCTGATAATCTTCATCTTCTCATTGCATTATCGAAACAAATACTGGATTATGTTGTTATTCATCAGAATGATGATAATAGTTTAGTGATAATATTAAAATATACTTTAAATGAAGTTTACTTACCTTATCTCTAAGTGACTCAGTAAATGTAGGCGGTGTTCCAGTACAGTTAATTAATATTGCCCCAAGTACAAGATTATCATAAGCAATCTGAAGAAAAGTAAAAATCAACAAACAAACGAATACAAATGAGAACGAAGAGAAACAAATACTTGATAAGACAATAGTACAATTTTACTATTTATTTTCTGAAGAGGCAATTTATACTAAGCCACGAAACATCAGATTATTTATTATAAATATATTACTGTTATTTTATTCAGATAAAAAAATCATTGAAAGCTAAACTTAATTTGAATTATAAAGTTGAACTTCGATAGTGGTGTCAAAAATCAAATAAATATTTAGCACAAATATAATATATGAATGTAATGAAAACAGCATATTTTAATATCTAGTTTTAATAAATAGTACATTGATATATACGTAAGTATATATGTATATGAGACTCCTCATGAGGCATGTCGAACACCCTACCATAGGTAATCAAAGTACCTACAGGCTTGTGGCGAGAGCTTAACTTTTAAAGAACGGTGTACATCTAATGCCAATCAGCTTTCAGTATTGGGGCACATCTTCCATTGCTTCTAATGGATAACTATCTCACATATGATTTGAATTAGCTCCACTGGTCACGGCTTCTCATTAAAACTTCCGGAATCACCCTCCAAAGTTGGTCACTGATGAGGATATGTTTACTGTTAGCATTAAGGCCTTGTATTCATTATCGAATTTTCATTGTTTATATGACGGGCCTATCTTAGTTAGACAACCACTGAAAGTCATGAAGCACTAGGCGGCTGTTTTGTTCTAGAATGGGATGCTGAACTGATGAAATGGTATACCTGTAAGCAGAATTACCATTGAAGCTATTCGGTTCAGTAATGTTTCATGATTTTAATATTCTGTTAAAATGTTGCTCAGTATCATATAAAAATTATCCTTCATCTATTATTTAAAATTAAATAAATAAATAAATTCTTTCCATTTACTCATTGAAGTTTGTTAATTGATGTGTAGAATATTCCACTAATGTTGGGTAAGATCTTAGAAGACTTTTTTTAAAATGTTGTAGTCATTCATTCAGTTAGAGTATTTTAGTCCCCACAAAATTTAAAATTAGTTCAAGATAAGTTACAGTAAGCGAAGAGAACGAACATAGTTTTCTCATTCACAAATCAGAACCCTACATACAGAGGAAATACATTTAGCCTCTTCTGTTATCGTAGCCAACATCAGACCCATTAGGTCAATGATGATCGTAATGATAAAATGAATTAGGTTGACTAATATACACATAGTCTTTCCCTTATTGTATTTTCATAACTAAGGTTCATTTTATTCAAGTATAATCGTGAATAATATTTTACATATATCTTTGCATTGCTATCATTACAATTAACATTATTATTCTTTCAAAAACAGGAGTACTTTGGTTGCCATTCCCCCTCCACAACAACTCTTTATCATGTTTTATTGAATTCATATCACTTCATAAATTATGTAGTCCTTGGGCGAACATTTAATCTAAATTGCAATTACACTATTATTTTTTGCATGCTTTGATGGCTTTATTTATTCCAATTTTTAATCTAGCATTTTCAATCAATTTGTAAACTTATTGAAGTTATTTTAATAATTGAATTCATGAGTCAATCTAAGCTAGACCACCATTGAAAACTTGAAAGAACTGGACAGTCGTTTCGTCTCAGTATGGGACTCCTCCGCAGCACGTATTCACGATCCTGCATGCCAAACTCGAACACGAATAGTAGACATTTCAATGTTACAAATTAATTTAGAATTGTAATTGTAGGACTTGGTGAAAATTTGCTAAAAAATATGTTCTCCATCCAGTTTATATTTATTTAACCTTTGAATGACAATTTTTAAACAAACTTCACCTTGGATTTCATAGTTTTTGTTTCTTTTAATTGGTGTATTATATAATATAAAATTATTTAGTGGATCATTAAATCGACATTCAGCGCTGTAGACTTGACGAACTGCTCCCTTTCGTAATCCTCCTAACAAAATATTTTTAGCGTTTATTATTCATTGGCGTAATTATTATGCAATGAACAAGAACACGAGTAAAAAATTACAGAGCATCTCAATAAAATCTGAGAACCATATAGTAAATCGTTAATTTACTAAATATCAATCCATCATATTAACCATGACTGTTCCTGTTGTAAATATCAGTCCATTGTCTCAGATTACATAGTTCATGCATTTTCATATCAATTGCGTTCCGTTCTCGTTCTTTCCTTATCGATCTTCTACTGAAATACATTCTATGCTTAACCATCGTGATATACTATTTATGTGGATATAGGTAACCCACACCATAATTATACAATATTCATTGTTAAATGAGAACAAACGATTGGGTTTTTTTAGACAAGAAATAAAACTGTTCATTCAATTCTCGAACTTATTCATTACAATAATGATCAATGATTTGATCAATTATAACAATCAGTAACTATAACAATGTTTATTTTACAAATGGAAGGTGTTTTATCTTCATAAAAAAGCTGCTTTCAGTTTACTTTTGTGAGTTATATAAGTTTATTGTATTGGTAATTGTATACCTTTTTAGGGATTGGTTTTTTTCTCTTGTCATTATTTATAATGTGAATCTATAGAACAAAACGACTTGAACACTATTTCATATAAATAAATGACACGAATTATTATCCGGAAAATTCGAACACCAATTGGATTAATATCAAAAGCTAAATTGGTAGAATTGTTATCAAATCGATTTTTAGTGATCCTTGATTCGGTATTTATCAGTGTCACCATAAATTTTTCAATATAAAACAGTCGCAGATTCGTCTATTCTTTATTTAACTGTACATCTTGAACTCCAGTATTTTTCCATACATATTTTTTCTTTAAACCGTTTTGAATCATATTCTTAATGTTTAGTTTTTTCATTATCATTACTACTACAATAGTTCGATTCCTCTGAAATTCACCATATTCATTTTATTTCATCGTGTTAATTTGGAGTGGAAACTTGAACTAATGCACATTTATTTAATGCTCTACATTGGTTTTAAGAGACTGAATTGAATTATTAAATTATAACGAGGTATTCAATCACTGATGTAGAATTATTTTACTGAATACCTGGACGTGAACGAGAAATTATTGAACACATTTTATTGATTTTAAGAGAAACTTTATATCAGAATGGGTTTTGTGGAGAGTTTTAGAAATTTCACAAGTTGAAATCATGAGTCAGTTGAAGCTAGACCACCACTGAAAACCTGGAAGCACTGGACGGCCGTTTCGTCCTGGTATGGGACTCCTCAGCAGTGCGGCAAGAAATTCATCTGACCAAATATCATTTAGATTGATCACAGTATTTAAAGCAATTGATCCCTCTGATAAATTTCGATAATGAAATAAGAAGACAAAGATTATCATAGTTCTGATTATCTTTGTCTTCTTATTACGTTATCGAAATTGATCACAATATATTTGTTTGATACATACACGTTTTGGTTCGACAGTAATGTCTGAAGTTAAAAAGAAATTCGTATTGACTGTTAAATAAAGTCTGTTTATTAAAATTATAGTAAACTCTTTTGCACACAACTTCTTCTTGGAATTATTTATGCATTGTAACCAAGTGAATTTTGTGATAAACAAAGAGGATATGAACTGATAATATGCAAGTCGAAAACTAATATGATTTCTACCTTAATCTCAAAATCTTATATCCTACTGAGGCATGGAAAATCACAAGACAAAGTTTAACCAGTAACTATAAAGAATATGCTTTATGGAAAAATACTACCGTTTTATTGATAGATTCTCTTTGAAGTGGTTATTAGCTAAACTCAAATAATTCCTACTTGAACAAATACCAGATTAAATGAATACACAACATATTTTATCAGTCTACAATCGAGCGATTACCATATAGGAATTAATCCATAAACTAAATCCAAATCGTTTTCCAAATAATATGATTACTTAGGATTATTGCAAAAAATGGCATACAGAGATTTTATATAAGTAGTCAGTTATAATACTTATAGATTTTAGTGGAGCATAATGTATAGATTAAAGAAAACTGTTTGAATTTTTATTCTATTATGATTACATTGTATTATTATTAATAATGCCCTTATTCAGTGTTATACTTTCGGTACAATATGGAATTCTCAGCACAAAATATTTCAACAAGTTTTTTTAACAAAAAAAGGAAACCAGTAAAAGAAACTGATAGCTGAATATATATATATATATATATATATATATATATATATATATTCGGGCCTAAAGGGGAGCCCACGGCTATCCCGTCTATTTGTCTATAATAAGTATTGTTGAAGACAAAATGGACATTCAGTGTACATCTTAAGGGCAGTTCCTTTAGACTATCTTCAGGTTAGTCGTTAGTTGATAGCTGCCAACAATACAAGAATAGTAAGGGTACCACAAATCACTTACTAACCAAGCAGCACCAAGACTCTTTAACGAAACTAAACAAAGATGAAACCTTGGTCATAAGCAAACCAGATAAAGGAGGAGGTATAGTTCTGATTCACAAGAAGGATTACACTGAAAAAATGGAAGCAATGCTTAGTGATCCTAGCAAATTTTAAAAAGTTACTAGTCATTATGACATCAATCATAAAGTAGAAAAACAATTGGCTAATTCTCTTAAGGATCCAAAGAAAAAGGGAATAATTACGACAAAGATTGATTATTCAATTAGGCCGACTGGATCATGTACACCATGACTGTATGATCTGTGTAAAGTTCATAAATCGGGTCTTCCCATAAGCCCATTTCTAGATATGTAAAATTCTCCTTACCAAAACATTGCAAAATGGCTAGTGCAAATATTAGAACCTTTGCACAAATGAGTTGTTAGAAAGCGTGTAAAAGATGTCTTCGACTTCACCACCAAAGTGGATAATATGAATGTTAGTATGAAAAATATGATCTCACTGGATGTAGTATCTTTGTTTACCAACGTACCACTTATCGAGACTATTGAGTTTATATGCGGGCATATATACATAAGTTAAGCAGACAGACTACCTGGAATTAAATGTTAAGTT